CCCCCGTGCGTCGGGTAGCGGGTGCGCTGCATCGCCTGCTGCTGGGGGACCACGGGAAGAAGTACGCCGCCTCTACATGGGCCTCGTGCGATCCATGGCCTTCTATGGGGCGCCCGCCTGGTCTAATAACCTAGCGGGTGCCTTCCGTGCAGCGGCTCTACTTAGAAGCCTGTAGCGGTTGATGGCCATACGGATCGTACGGGACTATCTACGATGTCGTTTGCGGTGGCGACGGCCGACGTAGTTTCCACACGTAAAAAAGGGTTGCTAGTATTAATAAAATACTTTTTTACAATCGTAAAAAATTTGGACCGACTTGAGAATCGAACCCGAGATCTTTTCATAGCAGTCGCATATGCTACCACAATATTATCGAGGGTGTAATAATATAGATAGTTTGACGTAGAGTATGCATTTATGAAAGATGTAATCTTTGCCGGAACACCAAAATAACTTTAAAAGGATCTCTCCTATTTGAGTTTTATGTTTCGTTGTCTATTTACAAATATTAATTATTTTAAATTTTTATCCATAAATTTAAAAAAAGAAATCCCTTTTTGCGAGTGCACAAACCTCTAATGACCTAAGGCAGAAGCAGTTCCAATTTTCCTACTTTGGCGGAAAATCTGATTCCGATAGCAACATTACTTGTACCTTAGTGTGCGTGTCGCCGAGCGTAAATACGTGGACTTACGCAAACATCAATTGTGTTTTGTCTCAAACTCGACAGGTTTTTGATATAAAACTATCGTTTTGTGCGTTATTATTCAAAGTGGCTATCTATTTTCTCTTTAGTGGTCTTGTGCTCATATCTACCAACTACCATATATAATACCTTATTATTCATTATATGGTTAATACTAAGAAAACATACTACCCCTCAATTTTTCAGCTGGCGCTACTTTCAGGCTTCCTTTAATATATTCAATTATACCTCGTCGATCGTAGTCACGCCACACATCAATTTTAACATTCGCACTTAAATGAATTATTTTTAAGTCCTATAGCCGTTTATTGTGTAAGTTACATCTAGGATATTTGTGACTTCAGTTATATATATTTTAAGTTGATATTGTTGTACTCAAGTTCATTTAGTCCCATTAAAATTTGATGGTCTTTGAGTGTATATGTAAAATATATTATAGTTATGGTTGTGTCACCACATTCCTATAAAATATTATGCAAAAGGAATTATAAATAAGTTCAATCGCAAAACTATCTCCTATTAACGACGATAATTATTTCTCCCTCGTGTAAAATTTAGAAAATAGTGAAACGACGTTTTGCAAATAGATTTACAATATTCCCGGTGAAAGACTAGCTTGCTTCGATTTCGATTGTTAACAATACTGGGTATCAGAGTTATTGGGTATCAAAGAATTGGATTTTATTGGAAATCCTATTTCGTTTTACTGCCCTTCTCATATTTGCTTTTATTTACAAGACATTTCTCTTAGCTCACAAAGAAAGCCTTAAGGTATTTTCTATCGAAATACTCGTATATTATAATATTTTAATTCATAGAGTACTGTGATGAAATTTACAAAACGTGTAGAAAATATATAGTAATTTCGAATATAAATAGTTTTTTTTTTTTGTAGAAGGTATAATATACGGTCACTACTAAGTGCGCTGTTTGTTTAGAGGATTGAGATCCTGACTGGTGAACCAGAAGTTCGATTCCCACCTATGACAAATACTTGTGTTGTTAGCAGGATCATTTTACCCTCTGGCTATATTATGTAATCATATATTCAGGTTTAAATATGAGCAGGCAGTGCGCCTGTGACTACAGTAGTGAAGTCATACTTATAAACTTCTAGCGTACAGCTAGCCTGCCCTGCTTCGCTGTGGCACATTGTGGCCATATTTGAAGCTTGTTGTATACCGTGTCAAAACTTGTGCTCAATCGGTGCAAAACTTTTAACACGCTTTTATCAGCTTGGTATTTATGTACCGGAATTTTCAAACGTGATTCAAAACGTCGAATTAAATGGAAACTTCGCACACTTATCAAGGACATCGGTCCGATCGGACGATACAACAATTTGATCAATTTGGCTGATGATCTTGATCAGGATCTGCAGGTTTAACGGCTGTTTCCATACCTGAAAATGCGGTAGTCTTTTGCTACGTAAATTAGTAAAAAGCGTGTGCTAAAGTATAAATAGCTTATAGAATTAATTATAGTTAAAAAAAATACTAAAAAACAAGACTCAAAGTAGTAAAAAAGCGTGGGGTACTTTTAAAGAATTTTTATAACATTGTAACTTTACTTTTACTAATATCTGTCAATAAAATATTTTTACAACAATTGAGATCTGGCACCCCAAGCATTTTTACGATAAAATATTTTTTTCTTTTTGAAGTTATAGAGAGTTATTTTCTACTTTTTAGTTCGGCTAGTTACAAAAGCGTGTTTTTGAAATATAATTTATTGGGTTTTTGAAAAGTAGACATACCAACTTACACTTTTAAATACTTATATATAAATATTCTAATTCTTACGTAATTATTTTTATTATTTTTTATTCTCACACATTTGACACACGGTCGTCTGATCCCAAACTAGGCAGAGCTCGTACCATGGTAGACAGACTGCTGTTAAAAATACTTATATATATACATATAGATAAAAGAACACCCATACATAAAAAATGACCGTGCTTATCACACAATTATTTGTTCTGGGTTTGAATCGAGCCTACGACCTCTGGCGTAGCAGTCAGGATCACTAACCACTAGACCAACAGGCCAGTCTTGTTTGTTTGTGAAGCTACAAAATAATTATAGTTAATCTACTTGCGATATCACAACTGTCTTAAAAGGTATTTTCGTAGTAAAGTATTTAACATCCAACGTTGCCTGTAATCTAATCACATTACAACGTTCACATTACATTACACATTACACAATATGATTATATCGTATTGTAAACGAAAATTTAATCGGTAATCTGCTAGTCTTAGTAATACTTTGCTATTTTACTACGAAAATACCTTTTATGTCAATTGTGAGATCGAAAGTTGATCGGAACTGAATTGTGACCGAACTTTTATTACGAGAATTGGTCTTCTGCTCAAAACTTCAGGCATTCCAAATACATTTAATACCTACGCTACAATTTTTAGCCTCTTACCACTAAACTACACTTATTCTATAAACTAAAGTCGATCATACATAGTTTCAACTTCATTTTTACCCCCCACCCTCTGACCTTTTACAGGTAGTCAATCATTAGCGGGCAATACAATGGTCGCACTTTCATAGTACCTACACGAGTTGCGTGACTTGGCTCGCTTAAACTTTGCTAAGTAATTGATTCGATAGACGTTACGTTATGCAATTTCCGATTGTATTTTTCAAATGTGTTACAGAAACCAGCTAAATTAATTTGGGTTTTACTATTAATTCTATGAAATTAAAAGTTTTCTGCTCGCGTGGTTTTAGAATATTCAATATTATTCTTAGTATGCCTAGTTATAGTGGGCTATTAGTCTAGTGGTTAGCGATCTTCACTGCTAAGTCAGAGGTCGTAGGATCGATTCCCACCCAGGGCAAATATTGTATTATAGAAGCAAATAAAGTAGAACCATTTGTTTATCAGTACAAATTACGACTTAAAAATGTTTATTTAGCATTAGAACAGGAATAAACCAATGTAATCAAAATGCACCTTCTTCCTGTTGTCTCTGCATCACCCAATGGTTGACTGGTAGAACATGCCCTAGGCATTAACTCCGCTAATGCACCAAATGTGCAGGATGTATAAATAAATAAATAACTTAAAACAAAATAAAATTATGCCTTTTCACAATACACGACGATACTTTATATTATAACAAACTTAACTATTACAGAAGAATCGAATAAAATAAAAAGTGTGTTTCGTAAACATTGCTAGGTAATATTTCAAAGGCGCTTACGACTTTACTTACATTTTAAACCCTGAGTTTTTATTCGATAATACTACAACTGTTAATGGGACATATTTTAAGAATACATGTGTCATATAATTATGTTCACTTTACATTACCTCTTCTCTTCTCTCTATTACATCGCCACTGTCTTTTAAATAATAATCATATTTCGGAATTCTGACACAGAACGCCATCTAGTTTCAAAATAAGCAGAGCTTGTATTATTGAAGCTAGATTGACTGATAGAATAGTTATAAGACTTTTTTTGTGAAACACATACATATTACACATAGAAAACACCCAAGCTCCGAAACAAATATTTTCAGATCATACAAACATTTTCTCCGACCCGGGAATCGAACCCGAGACCTCAGAACAGCAGTCGTATACGCTGCCACTGCACCACCGAGGCAGTTAAATAATTCTATCTAACGGTATTTACCTAAATCTAATTCCATAATTTCTTTTCAATTAGAATATTCGCTTTAATCTTTAAATATTAACTACATTTATAAACGTCTAAAATGATGTGTCATGTATTTTATTTAATGTTAAAACATATCTTTTTTTCTTTTATATTTTGAAATTATTCAAATCTTTTTTCGCAAAGATTAATTTTGATATAAGAATATCCCTTAATACGGTTCGCGTAATAAGTTTCGTTTTGCTGAAACCTATTATGTTATTACAGTCGGTACAAGTACTTTTTCTGGATGAATAATTTTCCTATATCCCATCCTATCTATATCTCTCCCCATATGTCCTACTCTGTACCCCTGGCAACGTTTGTAAAAAATTTCGATGATCACAGAATGATACACCATTGATTTTTATGAATTTTGTATTCAGTTAATTCATAAACAATATCTTCTCTGCGCTCTACGTCTAAATTTTTTATAAATAAAAAATGTATCAGGAAACTATTTAACAACTACTTTCCCTTCGTGACTTTTTCAAAATGTTTTAATAGTAATAAAATGAAATATAAATGTATTATCATTGATGTTTAATCCTTAAAAAAGGGTATTCAGCCCAAACTACTTAACTTATTATTAACAATATCTGTTACTTGCGTTACCGTTATTTGTGATGACCATTACTTTTAGTTTTACCGTTTGCAGAGGCATTTTCATTTTTATCCTTTTTACAAACATTATCATTGGCATCAAATTTACTATTGTTATAATTGCTATCATTATTACTAATCCTTTTTCGAACTTCATTTACACGATCTTTTTCATTATTAATTTTACTTATTTCATCATTTATTTTATCTTGATATATACTGCCATTTTTAGCTCCATTTGATTGGACTTTCCCATAGGGATTGTTTTTTGGTTTCTTGATGTACGTTTTGTAGTAAAAATCAGAGAAAAGTACGAGCATAAACAGATTTTGTGGGAGGATGACAGCAGAGGACCATCGAGGATATTCGCAGTCGCTTTTGAACACAATTAGAGCAAAATGTATGGCACACCATAAGAATTGCACCTGAAAAAAACAAAATTGAGTCGAAGCAAATTATTTTCATGAAAAAATTAAAGCTCTGAAATCCAAAATGTATGATTACTTAGTGACTAAATAAAGTAACTACTTAAGGGCGAAAATTACCTCTCACAGATGGCAATAGATTGTACTATTATAATTACTAATACTCTCAGATATATTTCTTCTACCCCAGCTCCCGACTATCCACCTTTCCTTCGTCTTTGATCAGTTGTCCGCTTGTGACGATAAGAAGACCATTCTAGCGATTTCATCAAATGCAGTAGGAAGTGACTGTGTTAGCCGAAACATGATTCTTTCTATCCTTAATGAAATCCTATCCATCCTATGCAATATCCTGAATCACTCCGTGACAAGCGGAGTTTTTTCACATTACCAATAGTATCAGACTAGGCATGGATAGTGGAATGATTACAGTACTCGCCTTACTTGATTTTAGCAACGCTTTTAATACTGTAGATTTTCACATTCTGCTTGGTATACTGCGGTCTCTTAACGTATCTCCAAGAACAGTTGATTGGTTTCATAGTTACCTGTCTGGTCGCCGGCAACGTATTTGCATTGAAGACTCGGTGTCTTCCTGGTGCAGTATTTCTACTGGTGTACCACAGGGTGGCGTTTTATCTTCTTTACTCTTCGCTGTTTTTATAAACTTCATCTCTAATCAGTTAGTAGTAGTAGTTTGTTCTATCACCTTTATGCAGACGATTTACAAATATATACACGAGCCCCGCTTACCTTGTTATCGCTTGCATTCAACACAATCAATGCTGACCTATCGCGCATTGGCGAATGAAGTCATAATTATGGACAATCAAGGTCAATTCTAAAAAGACTCAGGTATGTGTGATTGGCAGTCCTGGGCTGGTCTCAAGAATTAACTGGACACAAATGCCGCAAATTGAATTCGGAGGCACTACACTTGAGATCAGTACTAGTGTTAGAAATTTAGGAATTAGCATTGATAATAATTTAACTTGGAGCCCACATTTACAAGAAGTTAGTCGTAAGATATTTGCTTCTGCCGGGTCCATGCAAAGACTACGTAACTTCCTACCGACTGCAACTAGGGCTGCACTTGCACAAGCACTTCTCCTCCCAATTCTCGACTATGCCGATGTCAGCTATCTGAATCTCACTGAAGCCCAACTTGATAAGCTTGAGCGACTTCAAAATTTCTGTATACTATTTGTATTTGGACTAAGAAAATATGATCATGTTTCTGAATTCCGTCTAAAGCTCAAGTGGCTTCCAATTCGCTCTCGCCGAAATACACATATACTCATTTTTCTCTATAACATCTTGTTCAATCCCAGAGCCCCTCAAAGAACGGTTCAAGTTCCTTCATGACACATGAAAAGTGTCTGAGGTCATCCGAAGATTTGAGGCTTGAGATGCCTCTGCATTCTACAAAATTTTACGACCATTCTTTTACTGTTCAAGCTGTACGGTTGTGGAATGCACTGCCGATAAACATCAGGCGAGCGAAAACCTCCTCGAAAAGCTACATCCTCGTGTTAAGGTATGATTTAACACGAGGATGTAGCTAGAGGATGGAGATATTGTATATATATATATATATATGTAATTATTATCTCTTTTATATTCGTTAGTAATTAACCTGAAAAACTCATTTCACCCTCTACTACTAAGGTAATACTACTAAACTACTAAACTTTCATCTTAAGGTTAGTAGGTACTACTACTAGGTTAATAGGTACTACTAAACTTTCATCTTAAGGTTGCCTGGAAGAGATTGCTCTTAGCAATAAGGCCGCCTTGTACATTGTATATCTAACACTTTCATGTAACTATCATGCTTCTTGTAAAATGGTGTACAAATAAAGAGTTCTATCTATCTATCTATCTATCTATAGCTTGGGTAATGAAGCATTCATATTAATAATTGATAATAATAATAACAATAATTTCACACATCACACATACGGCCGTCTGATCCCAAACTAGGCAGAGCCTTTGCTATGGTAACCAGACTGCTGATAAACATATTTATAAATATATACATATTATAGATAAATTATACCCAGACACAGAACAAATCAGCCAGCTTTGGGTGGGAATCGAACCCACGACCTTTGGCTTAGCAGTCACAGTTACTAACCACTAGAGCAACTTGATGTTCATAAGCTGTTAGAAATAGAATAATATGGCAACATTTTGCAGTGTGCTACATAAAATTTTCGTACCTTGGGCATAAATGCATGAAACTGTACAAATAAAATTTTAGTTGAAATGGATGTGAAATTGAATAAGGATATTAACATCCCTAATACGAGATTTTAGAAATGCTATAGTATACATTGATCCTTAAAAAAAAGTATTTCATTACTTATATCTTTGTAAGGAGTTAAATCACATATCAAGATCACAAATTGATGAGGGGGATATACGAATTTACAGCCGTTCTCCAACCTGCATGAGAAAATAAATAAAATATAATACTAGAAATACATACTAATTGTATCTGGGTAACGAATTTCTTTATCCAGATCATATTTCTGATACTCGGCATTGCCACCGTTAGAAGATAATAGCTGTACATCACGACGTGGACAAAGCAGTTTATTACTCCGACTAGTGTTCCATGCCCACCTAAAAATAATTAACAATTAAGTTTTGACCAATTTATTTGTGCTAGTCGTCTCGTTAATAACAGGATGCGACTCCGGCCTCACAGAACTACTACAGCCTTACTCCCGTTTCTCCATCAAGGTTGCGGCAACCCTTCCCGGGAGGGAGAAATCTCTGTACCTTTTAACAAAATCATTTACCTTCGTTCTCTGTCCCATCTGAAAATTATTACATTTCCAATACGGAATAACGCTATACGGCTGGCTGACCGTGAAAGAAATTAGCCAAACTTGCAATGTTGTTAATTTCGCCGACCCTAATTAAACTGGGTAAACGACACAAAGATAATGTTGAAATTAAAGGCGAACGGCGGATCTTGTACCCCTATTAATATTAGGTCCTTACATATGAAATTAACGTTTTGTCGTACTAACCACTTTGATGTGAAATATCTCCTCTTTGGTTAAGAAATTCAAATTTATAAATTCATTTATCTGGTACATTTGAGTTTGGAAAACTGTCATTCATTTGCTTTTTCCTCATTTTTTTTTTCTTTGGCGTCGCTTATTACCGCACAATAGAAAACATGAAATATCGGTATATTTACGAGTACGAGTTCTACCGTGGCACCAGTGCTGCAGACACAGATCGAGGTATTAATGATGTGTACGGCGCTGATGTCGCAAAAGAAAGCACGGTACGTTTTTGGTTTCAACGTTTTCGTTCTGGCAATTTCGACCTTCAGAACCAATCCCGTGGACGGCTGGAGACCAAAGTGGAAAATGAAGAATGAACGGCTATCGTGGAAGCGGATCCATCACAAAGCACTTCAGAGATAGCTGCAGGCTTCGGGGTAATTGATAAAACTGTATTAATACACTTGAAGCAAATCGGGAAAGTAAAAAAGTCTTGAACAATGGATACCTCATGAATTGAGTGAATCAAACTTGCACACACCCGTCGACTGCTGTGTTACTTGGCACAACCGACACAATAATGAAGGGATTTTAAATAATAACTTGTAAAAAGTGGATACTGTACGATAATCGGAAGCGCTCGTGGCAATGGCTGAACCCTGGAGACCCACCCAAATCCTGACCTAAACGAAAATTGACTCAGAAAAAGTTACTTGTGAGTGTGTGGTGGACTAGCACCGGTGTCGTTCACTACAGCTTTCTAAAATCTGGCCAAACGATTACGGCAGATATCTATTGTCAGCAACTGCAAACCATGAAAGAAGAACTAGCTGCTAAGCAACCCAGATTGGTAAATCGCTCTAGGCCACTGCTGCTTCACGACAACGCAAGACAAGACCTCACACTGCACAACAAACAACCACTAAGTTAGATGAGCTACAATTGGAATGTCTGCGACATCCACCGTACTCCCGGACCTTGCTCCAACAGATTACCATTTTTCCCGGAATTTGGACAACTTCTTACAAGGAAAAAAAATCAACTCCAAAGCAGCAGTCCAAACCGCCTTCATAGAGTTTAGTGTTTCTCGCCCCCATGATTTTACTTTTATTTTACTACCTATGAGATAGCAAAAGTGCGTAGATAACAACGGTGCATACTTTTAAATATGTATTTTACAAAACAAAAGACTTTATATTCCACCCGTACAAATCGCCAATTTCATATGTAAGGACCTAATATATGATGGATGGTTATGAAATTTATACCGTTATACTTTTAGATCTTTGTTTTAACAAAGATTAACTTTTAAGTAAATAAATTCTTCTTAAAGAATTGTTACAACTACAATAACTAAGCGTTCAAGTTTTCTTAACAAAAAGCATTCCTACGTTTTATAAACTTGCCATGCATAAAATATAAATTACACAAAAAAACGATATCCTTGTATCGAATCAAAAAATGAGCTTACTGGAGTAGTTGTCTCTTTTTGTGAAGCTATTACAGCTTCACAGAAAGAGACCGCGGAACGGGATCGGGAGAGGGCCGATCCCGAGCGATGAAGACGTCGCCGGCGGAATGAGCAGTCGACGGGACCGCGGGCCGCCAGAAAGTGGGGACCTCTGGTGGCAGATCAATTTCTGCGATAGGGTATGGGATGGCAGCCTGATCGCACTAAAAATGTGATCGAACTGCAACGTCTGGATAGGCTGATAGGCAGGATGAAGCCACTGGCTTTCCCTGAGATAGGGCCTAGTTAGCTGGAGCGTCGATCTGGGGGGACCATATACCACATGGCCCGGGTTCTTCCTAGAGCAGGGCACTTAAGGTTGGGTGGGGGTGGTTTTTAGTTGAAACATCACATAATCCTGGCTCCTCTATCTTCAAGGAGCCGGAGATTCGAAGGGATATTACCACGTCACCAAAAAAAAAAAGAATTGTATTCAGCAGTTAAAAACAAATGTTTCTTTTTTAATAATATTGACTGTGCAGATTATACGAAGTAGTAAAATAATGAATATTTTAAATCAATTAATATAAGGAAAGTTACTAATCACTTCTATTTAAATCGATTAAATTAATCGTGAACATTATGTAAAAAAAAGTATTTGACAGGGCAACATTTTATTGATGGATTAAGAATATCGTTAACGAATGATTTTGAAAGACTTCTCGGTTAACTTATTGACCGCAATGACAACTCATTCGTGACAGCCAGCTGTCATTGGATCGATTTCAGTATCGCCTATGTGCAAACTACAAACTGAAATAACTTTTGAACGCAAAGTTCTTTCTTTCTATTCTTTCTTTCTTTCTATTCTTTCTTTCTTTTAGAAAAGACAACTGCTGCATTAGTAATATATCCTGTGTCGCGGGGGACTTTACAAACATACACGAAACGGACACAAAGAACACCCAGCCTTAGAACAATTTGTGGATTACACAAAGTGTCGTCCCATTTGGGGATCGAACCCACAACACTTAGCGTAGTAGTAAGTGGCGTGGCGACCGTCCGAATTTAAAGAGAATTAAAACTGAAATTGTTAACGATTTTAGCCGTCTAATTAATACAACAATAATCCTTACTATAAGATAAGCAAGGTACCAAAGTCCTATTCATGTCTGCCATTGTCGTTTAATGATATAATTTTATGTGCCTTTTTTTTTCCGTGCTGAAATCCCCTTGGATACCACCTGTCGGCGGCATGTCGGACTCGAACCGACTAAAACCGCACGCCGTCTCGGGTACTAATAGCCGGGGAACCAGGTATACCCTAGAAAGGAAGTCCCTTATGTGCCTAAAAGTTTCTTTTCCCTTACAATATTTTAACTTACATTATTTCTAGGGTATCTCAAAATGAAAATTATAGGATCACTTCATTATCTGTCTGTTGGTCTGCCTGTAATCAAATACACATATGTACGATCCCTCGATTCTATAATAAAAACAGCTTCTAAGTCTACGCTATGATAAGGTGTGACCATGTAAACTATGTATTTTAATATTACGCAGGTAAATCAAAACCTACGCTTGGACTACTGGAAGGGGTTCTGACGTCTATGCTAAAAAGAAAGGTTGTTCCCAAGTTCCTGCTATTTTAGACAAGGTATGGCATACCAGGTAGTTTTAATCGGTTCGATTTCGACACACCTTTCCACGGGGCCTTTGTGGGCTGTCCCGGTCCATAGAGGATTCTACGTAATAAAAAAATACTATTTTGCTTTTGGATACTCCTCATATCAGACTTGGTTACTTGGTTCTTTTACATTAATTTTGTATGTCATAAAGAAATTTCCTGCTAATTAATGTGATAGTAGAATTCTTTTAAATACTTACTATTGCCAAAAGGCACTTATACGAAAACTTAACAAGATATTTTCACATAAAATACAGCTCTCTCCAAACTTGGGATAAAACTGCCGTATTTGAGGCATTCCGCGATTAAAAAAAAATATTATTAACGTAGACTTCATTGGTGGAGCAACTAAGATTTTTTGTCGTATTTGTTTTTACCCGTGCCTCGAAGATCCCGTTGGTACCGGTTGCCATACATCTGTGGCAATCATTACTAAAAAGTCCGACAGCAGTATAACTGCAGAACTTCGATATCGATATGGGTTGTGGAGTTTCAATGGTGGTTGCTCCACGTAAACAAATCGAAGTTCAGTAGTGTCGTAGTACTCGTACTGAAAGTCGACCTCAATCTAGTTTTTGCAAAGGCTCTGAGAATGATGTTTTTACCTGGCAAATAGGTAATAGTTCCCCATCCAATCATGACCATTCCGGCGTGATGGTAGACGTGGAGGAATGATACTTGATTGTTCTTCTTTCTTAATACGAAGAATATCTGGAAAAAATAAAAATAAATCTTTACTCCCGGCAACTGATTAAACTTTTCTTAAACACTTTTAGAATCGTGAGATCGTAAGTATAAAACTTTAATATAATATAAACGAAAGAAAGTTAATAAATTAGCTATGTTTCTACATGAGAATTATACTAGTATAAAAGAGTTGTTAATTAAAATAGTAAAGTTAAAATTAAAAAAAAAAAACAAATTATAAATACAGTAGGAATAAACATTTGAAAAAGTAAATAAAAATGTCGGTTTCAATCTATAGTTTAAACAGTCTTATTTAATTTCGCAAAGGCAATAACAAATGAATGTAAGTATAGTTACTAAGTAAAAAAAACAATTAAATGGTACCTGAAAATCTAATTCACTTAGACAAGGAAGAGTTTTTCTGAAATCATATAACTGATTTGAGTGCCTCGGTGGTTCAGTGCTATACCGCTGGGGTGCGTGGTCCGGAACCTCCTTGTGGTGCACCCTGGGCAACGGAGACGGCAGCGCCTCTCTCCCTAGGTGGGGGAGGCGCTGCCGCCTGCGGCCAATTCCGGCCGAGGTGGGAACGGCCCGTCAAGGGCTGTTCGGAGGGCTGCTTTCCGCGTGTCCCTCTGTTTGGCAGAGGGCATAGGGGAGAGCGGGCTGGGGGCGGACGGGTCCACTGCAGCTGGCTCTGTCCAGAGGTTGGGGACACTGGTCTGACGCAGACCACCGTCCGGCCATGTCGTAACCCTGACTGGCAACGGTCAGGAATGACGGCTCTTCGAGGGCTACGAGGAAGGCAACCTCTATAAAAAACCCTGGGGCGGACGGACCCGGTCTGGTGCAGACCCCGTCCGGCCCAGCCGTAATCCTGAATGGACAGGACCGGTGGATCTTCGGATCCGCGAGGACGTAAACCTCTATAAAAAATGCTCTAAGCCCACGTTCTGACGCCTGGCAAGGGGCTGAGTCGCTGGAGGGAGTCCAGTGCCGAAGGCGTCCCCGTCGAAGGACGTTAAACTAAAAAACCATGACATGAGGCCAATAAAAGAGAAATCTACCCAGGAGGGTACCGGGCACACAGTGTCTGGGGAATCCCTCCCGGAGCCAAAGGGCTCCGGCTGCTCCCAGTCGTATTCTGGGGGGAGCACCGAATGTCGAACCTGCCCGTCGCCGAGCAGTAAATCCGGCGACGTTATCGCGGAGGACGCGAGAAACCTGGAGGTAGTGTCGAACACCGACACTGCCTCGGAGATGAGCGGAGTGAGTACCCCGATGGTCTCAGCTGCAGAGCAGCACCAGAAGGGTACTCCAAACCGCAAAAGGCGCTCGCTTCGCCTGGGCCTGAAGAGGCAATTGGAGTCGGCCTCGAGCGATGAAGCCACGGCTCCAAAAGTCGGCACAAGCCGCAGAGGCGCTCGCGGCGGAGGCCGACTCCCTAAAACCAGGGCTGCAGAGGAGAAGAAGAAGGAGCCCCTACGCTCCTACGCTCCCGTGAAGAGGGTCGCGTCCGAGAGGTCGACAGACGTGACCGAGGTGAGGAGCGAGAGGGAGGGTGAGCTGAGAGGCAAAACCGGCAACCCCGTGGACCCGTGGCCGATTTCCTGCTCCAGACGTCCGGGGTAGCCATGGGTCCCGAACAGGAGGCCCTGGTAGCGGTCGTGCGCTCCATCATCGAGGCGGGACGAATCCTCGTGGCCGAGAGCAAGGCCCACGCTAGGGAGAGAGCCCGCCTCGAGGCGGATCTCGCACAGGCTCGTGCCCACGTTGGTGCCACACCAGCGCCTTCGGCACCGTTGGCGCTGTCCGCCCCGGAGCCGGAGTCGGGCTTAGTCCGACTCATGGCGGAGATGGAGGAGCGGATAATGAGGCGCATCTCCGCAGTAGGGAGCGCCCGTTGTCGCCCACCTCTGGCTCCGCCAAGGGCAACCTATGCGGCCGCTGCCGGTGCGGGCCTAACAGCCCAGCCAGCAGCTAGGGTGGCTGGGCCGTCATCGGCCCCCCCCGCCCCAGAAGGCCGGAAAGGGCAAAGGGAGGGGGAAGGCGGCCCCACCTCAAGCCCCAGTCTCGGCCCCGGCTGACACCGCACAGCGCCCGTTGGAGCGGGGCTGGACGGTGGCCGGGGACAGCAAAAAGAGGCGGAAGGCCGCCAAAAAAGCGGCCAAGAAGGCGAGGAGGGACGCCGCCGCCGCCGCGAAGGGAGCGCCGAGGAAGCTCCGCGCCCCTCGCTCCTCGGCCGTCGTTATCACTTTGACGGCGGAGGCAGCGGAGAGGGGCGTGGGGTACGCCGAGGTCTTGACGAAAGTCAAGGCCAACGTGGACCTCAAAGCCCTCGAGATTCCGGGCGTCCGGTGTAAAAACACACGGACGGGAGCCCGGCTCCTCGAGGTCGCCGGCGCTACCAGTGGCCCCAAAGCCGACGCCCTAGCGGCTAAGCTGAGGGAGTCACTGGATGCAGCTGACGTCCGAGTGTCCAGACCCACTAAATGCGCAGAAGTTCGCATTACGGGCCTGGACGACTCTGTCACGGCGGACGAGCTCAGACTCGCCGTGGCGGAGACGGGAAGCTGCCCTCTGGACAGCGTGAAGGCCGGAGCAATACGCTTCGGCCCCGGTGGACAGGGGGCAGCGGTTGTCAGCTGCCCCATCGCGGCGGCCCAGAAGGTCGTCGATGGACGGAGCTTCCTGGTCGGAGGTTTCCTGAGGGCGCAGGCACGACTCCTGCAGGCCCGACCGGCAAGGTGCTTCAGGTGCCTGTCGGTGTGTCACGTAGGGGTGCACTGCACGGCGGAGGCCACCGTAGGTGACCGATGCTTCCGCTGTGGCCAGCCCGGTCACAAGGCGGGTGGCTGCAACGCTCCGCTGCGTTGCTTTAGGTGCGCAGCGGGGGGCAAGCCTGCCGACCACCTGGTTGGTGGTAAGGCCTGTGCCCTATCGCGACCGAAGCCGGGAGGCCGACCTTCCGCCTCCGAGCCGCTGATCCAGACGGAGAGTGCCGCTGGACAGCCGCAAAGCTCGCTGCGGGATGCGGGGATGGAAGTCCAGTGATGGATCCACATCTCCGCATCCTCCAGGTGAACGTAGGCCACGGTGCCGATGCTCAGGATCTTCTGCTCCAGAGCATGGCACAGTGGTCCATCAACATCGCCGCTATCGCCGAGCCATATGTCCATCGGTTTCTCGGGCCTGCCTGGGAGACCGACTTGGACGGCACGGCGGCCCTGGTGCACGGTACCGCAGCCGGCACTCCACCTCTTGCAGTAGTTGCAAGGGGACGGGGCTGCGTAGCGGCGATAGTTGGAGATATAGCGGTCGTGGCCGCTTACTTCACGCCGAACCGAAACCTAACTGAGTTCGAGCAATGGCTCGCTCAGCTGGCCGTCGTCGTCGATGCCTGTCGCCCCCACCCGGTTCTTGTGCTGGGGGACTTCAACGCCTGGTCGCAGGCTTGGGGTTCCCTGCGCACGAACCCGAGGGGCAGGGCATTGGAGAACTGGGCTGAAAGATTCGGCCTAGTTCTCCTAAACCGGGGGGCCGTGGCCACGTTCGTGACGGCGAGGGGTAGTTCGATTGTGGACATCTCGTTCGCATGCCCCTCGCTAGCGCGTCGTGTCCAAGGCTGGCGCGTCGTTGTCGGGGAGGAGACAGGTTCGGATCACCGATATATTCGGTTTGACGTCTCCGCCCCTACAGATGGCGCGCCGGTCAGACCGGCACCACCTGAACCACGTTGGGCGCTCAAGCGCTTAGATCGCGACCTCCTCCTGGAAGCCGCCATCGTACAGGCCTGGGCTCCTGCGCCGGACAGGCCTGTCGACGTCGATGATGAGGCACAGTGGTTCCGGGAGGCCATGACCCGCGTCTGCGATGCGGCGATGCCTAGGGCTCAGCCCAGTACTGCGAGGCGCCAGGTCTACTGGTGGTCGCCGGATATCGCACGGCTGCGTCAAGCCTGCGTGACCGCGCGCCGCCAGTGGTCCAGGTTCCGCAGGAGGCGTCGCCGCCCCGAAGATGCGGCAGCGAGAGAGGCGGAGCTGTTAGCGGGTTACAGGGTTGCCAAGAGGGACCCTTCAGGCAGCGATAAAGCGGGCCAAGAGCGAGGCCCGCCGCGAGATGCTGGAGACACTGGAGCGGGATCCGTGGGGACGCCCCTACCGTATGGTTAGGGGCAAGATGCGCCCATGGGCCCCGCCGCTCACACGGTGTCTTCAGCCAGAGCTGCTTGAGAGGGTCGTTGGCTCCCTGTTCCCAACGCGAGTGGTGGAGCATACTCCGCCACAGATGGCTCCGCCTCCGGCGCTTGAGGCGCCTAACGTGGATGACGACGACGTGCCTGAGGTCACTGGGGTGGAACTAAGGGTGGCGGTGTTACGGCTTAAAGCCAAAAACACCGCCCCGGGACCCGATGGCATTCCTGGCCGAGCGTGGGTCCTGGCCTTAGTCGACGAGGCTCTCGAGCCCCGACTGCGAGGGTTCTTCAGCGCATGCCTCGAGACTCACCGTCCGCCGAGACCCGGCGGACTCACCGTCCGCCTACCGGCCCATAGTGTTGCTTGACGAGGTGTGCAAGCTTTCTGAAAGAGTGATTGCAAGGCGCCTCGTCAAGCATCTCGTGATGGTTGGGCCGGATCTGGCGGACAACCAGTACGGTTTCCGTCAGGGGCGCTCCACCGTGGATGCGATCATGCGCGTGAAGGCTCTGGCGGAGGAAGCAGTCTCCCGGGGTGAAGTGGTGTTGGCGGTGTCCTTGGACATCGCCAACGCGTTCAACACTATGCCCTGGAGCTGCATCAGGGAGGCGCTCGTGTATCACGAAGTGCCTCTCTACCTCCGCCGCATAGTCGGGGCATATTTGTCGGAGAGAGCCGTCGTCTACCCCAGTAGGACCGGTCTCGGTAGGCGTGAAATGTCGTGCGGTGTTCCGCAGGGGTCGGTGTTAGGGCCACTCTTGTGGAACATCGGCTACGACTGGGTGCTTCGTGGTACCTTCTTGGATGGTGTCGCCGTCGTGTGCTACG